AGTGAGCACTAACATGTTCCAGGGTGTAAAATTGAACGGGTATGCCCCTCAAAGCACTCACCTAATGTTTGCAGATGATTGTTTAATATTTGGGGAAGCCACAGCAAGTACAACAGGGAAGATAAAGAATTTGCTTCTCATATATGGGAAAAGCTCAGGCTAGGCCATAAACTTGGATAAATCTGGATTAGTTTTTAGCACAAACGTGATTGATACGAACAAAGGAGATGTGAGGAGAATACTGAAAGTATCAAGTATTTCCAATCTCGAACAGTATCTTGGCTCCCTAGTTTGGTAGGAAGAAGGAAGAAACAAGCTTTCCTAGTGTTGAAGGAGAGGAAATCGCAGATTCAAAAAAGATGCTCTACAAAAGACTGTGGGCAAGTGAATGTCACAGAAAACTAAAAATTTAAATATGAAAATTCTGTCAAGATTTCACCCCCACAAATCATATGCTCCATTACAGACGAATCATGAATAGTCTCAGATGTCAGTCATGTCCAAACCAAAGTGAGACAAGAATTCACATTATCAGGGATTGCACACCAGGAAGCAGCATTTGGGAAAAGCTACAGTATCGTTGGCCAGAACAAAGCACACAGTGGAATTTTAAAGAATGGTTGAGCTAGGTATTAGAGAATTATCCAAGCAATAAGCATGCATAAATTCTAGTATGCATCTGGGTGTTGTGGTATGTCCGAAACAAAAGGGTACATGAAGAAAAAATATTAACCAAAGACGAATTAATCATAACCATTTAAAGCCAGTGCAGAGATTTCAAAATGGCGAATACAAGACTTAACAACCAGAAGAAATCAAACCAAACACAGAGAAGTTCCAATTCAATAAACAATGCATCAGTTTCATAAACGAAGAAGAAAAGGTTCACATCTATGAAAACATACCTGATTTTTCAATGAAAGATGAATAATTCTTTAGATTTTGAATGGGTTTAACTGCTGCAACTCAAGTGAGCTCAAATCTGGGTGCATTGAAAAATAGTTGCATCTCAATTAGTCCCACGAACCCATAAAAATTAGAAAAATAATGGGCATATCAATATAGTAGTAGAGAAAATACAGAAACATGAGTGAAAACACAAACCCATAAAAATTGAACAATGAAACAAATTGAAATATCAACGCCAATAATTAAATAAAAATGGTGAAAATATCAACGTCAGAAGCAAATACCTAAAAGGGAGATGGGATATTAATACGCCAGAAGTAAATTGAACGCCAAATCGAAGAAGCAGAAGATTTTCTTTCAGCCAAAACCAAGCAGGGATATTTTAGACAACGGAACAGGGAATAAGCAAATACCTAAGAAAGACGGAGGATTGATATTCCCAAGAAAAGAGGAAAAAATACCACTGTTGGTATTCATTCTTTACCTGCACTTGGGAATGAAGCTCATCCAAACATGGGTATCGTTACCTGGGGAAAAAATTCCTCCCAGGAATGTTTTATGACGTGAACCAAACGGGCCTTAGTTTTTGTACTTCCCAAGTAGTGAATAAAATTTAGGGTAAAGTATACAAATAGTCACTAAACTTTTCAAATACTTGTATTTAGGTCCCCCAATTTTTAAAACTTGCAATACAGTCACCAAACATTTAGTTTGTTTGCAATATGGTCCTCGACGTAACGGTCATTTCACTACCATTAGTGTAAATTATATAAATGGTCATTGAACTTTTCAGGCGCTTGCATTTAGGCCCCCCAACTTTTAAAACTTGCAACACAATCATCAATTACACTCTAAACCACAAATTCCAAAATGCTTTAATTATATTCTAAACCTCAAATTCCAAAATAATTCAATTACATACCCAACCCCAAATTTATAATCCATTCTCAAAATCTGTCATAACAAATTGAACTTGAAGTAGCAACTCTAAACCCTTAAAACATATCCCTAAATGCTAAATTTCCCCACCAATTAACCCAACATAATCAACAACATTTAGTTCATTTTGGGTCCATAACAATAAGTGATAATGTTGGGTTTAGGATTTAAAAGTTAGATTTAATCAACTATTAGTGAACAATACTCTGTATGATATGTATACCACCAGTGATGGATCTAGAAATTAAAAAATGGGGATCCAAAATTTTAATACCCTATTCTAAAAAAATTTGGGTATACAAATTTTCTTATTTTTTTCTATTCCTATTAACAAATTAAACTAAATTTAACATTTTTCTCAAAATAATGGGTGTATAATGGCTCCCCTAGGGAGCCATGTACATCCGCCCCTGTATACCACATATGGAAAAAATCTCAAGAAATATATATACTGAATATGGTTAAAAAACTATTTAAATTAGAATAAAATAATATTATAGTATTATAAATATTTATAATTAAATTTAAACAGAAACACGAAAATTCAATTAATTTGACTTGATTTAAATTTCATAAACTCAAATCGAAAAAATTTCGAGTAAACTATTTTATAAACTAAACTGAATTATAATAAAATAATATTATAACATGATAAATATTTATAATTAAATTTAAACAGAAACTCGAAATTTCAATTCAATTCGACTTGATTTAAATTTTATAAACTCAAATCGAAAAAATTTTGAGTCAACTATTTTATAAAATGAATTGAGTATTTAGGTCCAACATAACCCTAAACCCAACATAATCACTTATTGTTCACTTATAGTTGGTTAATTTTTTCGAAACGGTTATGCCTTGAGGGTTTAGGGTTGCTGCTTCAAGTTCAGTTTGTTATTGCATATTTTGAGAATAGATTATGAATTTGGGGTTGGGCATGTAATTGAAGTATTTTGGAATACGAGGTTTAGAATGTAATTGAAGATTTTTGGAATTTGAGGTTTAGAATGTAATTGATTATTGTGTTGCAAGTTTTAAAAGTTGGGGGACTTAAATGCAAGTGTCTGAAAAGTTCAATGCCCATTTATATAATTTACCCTAACGGCAGTGAAACGACTGATACGTCGGGGACCATATTGCAAACCAATTAAAAGTTGGGGATCTAAATGCAAGCATTTGAAAAGTCCAGTGACCATTTGTATACTTTACCCTAAAATTTAATTGTGAAGACTTCGTCGAATCTGTTATTTTCTTATTTAGGGTGTTAGAGCACGAGTTGTGGACAAAGACTTTGCTCCAAAGGTACCATTCTTTTTACATTTCGGTCGCTTAATGATTTTTTGTGTAGTGTTACCAAACCTGAGTGTTATTTTAAATCTTGGGGGGATGTAGTGGGAACCTCCAAGCTTGGAACAGGTGTCCAATGATATGGTGGATCAGTACTTTGCACCCCTCAGTGAATCTGAGCCAAATCTGGAGCTCCCAACAAAAGAAAGAGAAGCATTTAACTAGTTTCAATGGCTGGTTATGCCAAAAGGTTAGAAATATACATAAAATCTGAATGCACGGGTTTTCACCCTGGAAATGTCGTCTTATGTACATTATCGAAAGCAAAGTAGCTATAATTCAGCTGGAAATTAGATGGTATAGCTTGTCCAACATTCATGTTCTCAAATTCAAACTTAATTGGAGATCCTGGTGAAAGTGGTTCAACGTACCTATCAATACAGGAGGTCCTTTACCATAGAGATTATATCAATTTTACTTCTTATATTATTGAATAAATTAATTTAATCTTTCCATTATGAAAATTGGTTTAATTTAGTCCCTCTAATATGTAGCATTATATAGAATGGTTCAAATTAGTCCCTCTGCTCTTAAACAAAACAAGGTGTGGTTGGTAATGCTGTCTAAAAGCAGTTTTAGTTAAAGGATTTGTTTTGACTGTAAAATCAACGTGAAACGGGTAAAAATTGAAAATAAAAATGTGGTAGAAATGGTGGTTTCAAACCAACCACAAAAGTTTTTATTTTTACAAATGCACGGACTCCATTCATTTGCGCTGGAAAAGATATTTGAAATTCAATTACTTTTATTAATTATATGTTCACATTTTATTTCAATAATTTAATCTTAACATCCTTAAAAAATAATTTATTGTTTAATAATTTATTTTAATTAGTTAAAAATAAATAAAATTTATGATTTATATATGAAAATGTTAATAATGAGTTATTATAAATATATTTTTAATTAGTACAAAAAATAAAATATATTTTTAATATAATTATATTTTCTATTTATATTTTTATTATAGTTTAAATTGATATATTTTATATATGATAATAATTTCTTTTAAATTTATTTATAATATATATCTTTTTATTTTTGAATGGTTAAAATGATAAATATATCATTTGATTATTTTATTTTAAATTTTAAATGATTGATTGTGATTAAATTGAAATAAGTAAAATACTATTGTAAATTTAAAATGTTAAAAAGTGTTGATAATGTATTTTTTCCTTAAAAAAATATTTCATATATAAAAATATTATTAATAAATTATTTTAAAATATTTTTTTATATTTTTATTATAGTTTAAGTTGATATATTTTATATCATAGTATTAAAAAATATAAATATAATTTAGATGTTATATTTTCAATTTACGACGTAATGTTTAAAAGTGACATTTTATCTTTTTAAAATCATGGAACAAATCTAAATAATTAAATTTTAAACTATTTTTTGAAAAGTTATTTTTAAAATAAATTTTCTATAATACTTTTAAAAATAATTTTTCAAATATAATGTCAAATTGACCCTTAATGTATTGATGAAAAAAGTTCAAATAAGGCTAATTCTTTTTACAAGGTTAATGTTTTCTACTTAGAAAATGACAATTATTGTTCAACAAAGACGATATTTTTATAATCTTTTAGCAAATGAAATTTTTATTTAAATTTGAAATGCGAATGAAAAAACTATAATATTGTTTTTAAACAAATAATGTTAAATTTGTTAAAAACAACAACTAGTAATTGATTTTTGCAATTATAACAAAGACGTAAATGTGTTCTCACTAGCTTTTTAAAAAAAATGTAAAAGAGAAAGAGAAAGGGAAAAATAAATTATTGATGAGAAAAATCCTATACAGGTGTTATCTCCAACTGTGGTGGTAAAGACGATGCCGCCTCCTCCTGTTTTTTATCCTCATCGGAGTTCATCTCTTGAACCGGCGGAGGCTTAGCAAGTGTCATTTGCAAATCAGCGTTATCCGACAGATGGTTCTTCATTTCCCTATGTTCTTGACACAACGCACACCAATGCATGCAGCAATGAACCATGCAAGGATCGCAGGGCGAGTTCTGTAAATCAAAACCAACACCACAGGTTATCCCATGGCTGGCTATAATAATCACAAGCTCGTATATATATAAACTGAAGCAATGTGCGTATGCACCTTGAGGTGATATTTCTTCTGCAGTGATTGTCGGAACAAACCGTTGTAGATGCCGCACAACCACCAGGCGAAAACCAGGGTCTCGCCGATGAGAAACGATGTTTTGGGGTCGATGCCGTGGAAGAATAAAGTTGTTGCCGCGACCAACATCCCCCCCTCCACGCATAAAGCGTGACAGAGGCATGCATCGTTCTTTGGGATGTCGTCTCTCAAGGTTTCCACATTTTGCCCGAACAAGAAACATGGGCAAAAGAGGCCCGTCAGGCCTGAAACATCAAGCAATTAGGGATGAAAATCAACCGGACTCAATCGAATAAGCTTGTGTGTTTGTTCTTTTGCTTATTTGTGAAGTTGTTCATTTTTTTTATGTATTCATTTAACTTTTTAGTATGTGGTTCGTGTTCACTTTATTTGACGTTTGTGAATATATTTATTTAATGCTCGTGAATATATTCATTTAATGTTGGTTCAATGTTTGATTTTTTTATCCACGAGCCAAAGAAAAATGATAAAATTATGCTACTAGTCCTTAAGGTCCTCATGTTTCATAGTTTAAACTCTAAAGTTCATCATGTGTTCAATTTAGTCTCTACCTTCACCAATATTGAAAATATAAAAAGGAAAAGGAGAACTAGATAAATGAGTTTGTTCATGAATATAAACGAATGGAACACGCTTTTATTTATGTCCGTTCGTCTATTAAATGAACTTAGAAATTGTGTTCATATTCGTTTATTTAATTTAATAAACGAGAGTTACATGAATGGTTCATCGAACATTTTGTTCGAGCAACATATCAATAGTTACGGTACTGTTAAAAAGTGATGGCAATAGGAGGATGATAGTAGTCTTACAGCTATCAAAATCTTCGAAACAGCCGCAGATTCCAGTAGTCCAGTCTTCATCAGCAGGTGGCTCATAGCTTTCGGGTAGGGGTTGCCCACATTCAAGGCATCTATGAACTATTAACTTCAAAAGGGTACAAACAATCCCCAGAACCGGATTATATACAGCAACAGAAATTCAAAAAGGTAAAGGGGGAAATGATCATTAAACAAATGGAAAATTAAAATACCAAACCTGAGGAACTTGAATAGGTTGATTGAGTTCTCCAGGTGTGATCTCTTCGAGAGGCTCCTTTTCCTTTGTAAGCCTCACGTAATGTGAAGGCCCGTTGCTTTCCTCCATCATCTCCGATTCAAAACATTAAAAATAAAAAACCAAAACACCGAGTCATCAGAGATACTTGAGTTTCTTGTAACAATGCAAGAGAAACACAAAGGTTGTGTGTTGGATGATCAAGGAAAAATAAAATAAAAATAAATGAATTCAAGAAATAAGGAGCTCCGAATGCGGGGATGCTTTATTCTTGACCTTGCATACGAATCAGTCCGTTTTGTTTTTACTGTTGCCTTATCCTACGGACAGGGACAACGCTAGCTTTTATTTTATGGTAAACAAGTGTTGGCATATTAATAACAATCAATTTGTTTCATAAAATTCATTGACCAACAAGGGTTATTATATATATCATTCAATTTATAAATAAGGACATATTTAAATAATATAAACATTATAATAAAAAAACTATTACAATTATAATCTTAACCTTACATATCCATCAAATTATGTGTTTCCACTTGAACCTTCATCATCATTTTCTTTCTCATGTCAACATGAAATTCGTAAAGAGATAGAGGCTATAGATGAAAATGAAAAGAAAACAAAAATTGAATATAAAAGTTTTAACATAGTGATCAGATGATGGCTGGTGAATGAGAAGAAAATAATAACCAAGGATTCTGTTATTTAAACCGATATGTTATATTAAACTCACGAGTTAAAATAAAATTATATAATTTTTAATGAGTCACATTAATTGAGGTAATAAAAATGAATAATATAGCGATCGAATTATAATAAAAATTGATAATATAATGATTGAGAATTAATTTTAAATTTTTATAATTAAATTTGAATGAAATTAAAATAAAATGATTAAACGTGTAATTTACCTTAAAATTTTATTATTTTTGTGCCAAAGAATTATTTGATTTTATGCAACGTGGCCAATGTTTTTTCAAGCGGTGAGACCAGATATGGGGGCCGACAGACAAAAAAAAATCCTTGAGATTCGATCCCCTTAACGGCCCAATACCTATAAGGCGAGTCCAAACGACATCGTCTAACTTCTTTCCTCATTCGCATTCGGTATTTTCGGTTTGCATTTGCTGTCTTCTATTCTTAAGAATTTGTTTGAATCTGCAATACTCATCGTCAATGCAATAATATTTCTATATTCCGATTTCTGCAAAAAATTCGTGGATGATTGATATCTCAAGAAGAATTTCCGTTAGTTTTTCAGGAATTAACTTATAATATATATATATATATATATATAATTATCGTTAATTATCTGATGGTTATTGCTTTCCCTCCTCCTTCAATCTTTCTTCTGCAATTTCTTTTTCTCATTTAATTTGAACACGTTACCCACGGAATAGTTCAATGTGAACGATCTATGATTTGAGATTCAATAGGATTAACATTTTGGAAGCAAATTTTTCTATAATGGGAATGCTCTGTCCCAAACGTAGATTAATAAGCTTGGATTGCTATTCGTATAGGCATTTGTTTTAAAGAAGCTAACTTGTTAATTTCATTTTTCCTTGAATTTGTTGTTAGAGGTTCATTCTAATGAGGGAAGCTGAAAGGTGCAGAAATGGAGACTCGATGGCAGGGTCGGTGGTAAGTATTTTAGCCTACGAGTGTTTGATATATATTTGGAGGATCGGAAATATGTGAGGAAAATGAAAAGTCCGAACGAGATTGATTTCAGCTTCTAAAGTAGATTTATTATTGTTTTCGAAATGTTCTTTATGGATCTGTATGATGCTTAGGTTTTAAATAGATAAATTTACCAACCTGTTCAGTCTGATTTGGACATCACTTTAAATTAGTAACATACACTTATTCTCTCTTATTCTTCATGTATGGCTTTCTGTGTTCTTTTCTTGATATCTTTTGCAACGATATTCAGTTTCTATAACTTAATATGTTGGTGTTATAGTTCTGTTTTTTCATTGGTACATTAATTTTATGCCTCTTTGTTAATCATATTAAGACCTCAACTTACTTGTGTTAAATGAAAAAACAGCAACCTTCTTTTCAGGCTGAAAATGATGGTCTGGGAAATGATGGGGTTATATCTCAATTATTTACCTCTTTACCAGCTTTAAATGAAGCTGCTGGTTATCTTGCACAAACCACTAATTACTTAGCTGGTTGTTTTTATAGTTATTCCGGTGAGTTTTCTCTTTTATCCTTGATTTTCCCCTTTTTTTTCTTTAATATTTATCTACAAAAGTTCCATTTTTAGTTCTTTTTTTTTGCTGGAAGCCTTTGAACAGTTTCTTATCTCATTTTCAGGCTGCTGGTTGATCAAACTAATTGTGTTTTTGTTTCTTTTTTCCTATTCTTCTTCATCATAGTGTGTTAATTGCTAATCTATGAATTACGGATCATTTAATTTCAATTCTTTTGGCCATGTTGCAGAGGAACCTGCTTTTAGAGATTCGAGGGATTCCATTGTACGTTTGCAATTAGCAACATCATCTTCTGGGCAAACTGAGAATCCTGTGATTAGTGATCATCAATTTTCAAGTGGGAGTAGCTCAGCATTGTCTACATCCTCTTGTCATGCAACTACCATGTCTGCCAATCATCATGCTACAGAGACCTCTGCTGGAGATTCATCTGAAATTAATGGTGCAATTGTACAATCAAATGATACCAGACAAAGTGGGATTTCCATTTTTCAAGGGTATTTATTCCTATATGCCTAAATGTGGATTTCTTTTATAGGGAAATTTATTGATTTTAAGATATTATCCTATACTTGAGATTTTAGACTATGGCAGTCATAACACGGGGATGCTAAATGGTCAAAATTTTTGCAACTTACAAGCGGTGAAGTTCCTCAGTTTGTCAGTTTTAATTATCCTTATGTGCACAACTGTGCAAAAGTGGGGAAAAGAGGGTTTGGAATAATTCATTTATGAAACATACGGGGTGGTAATCGTTGAGCATATTTGTAACTTAAAATTCATGGAATATTTTGAATAATTATTTTCCCCTTTATTTTCTTGTGTTGTCTATGTGAATTTCTTCTTAGTTAGTGCAGAAGTAATTTCAGTTTGGGTATTATAAGGAGTAATGGATTGTTCCAATCTTTCAAAAAAAAAAAAGCTCAGGCTTATTGAAAGAGTAAGTTGTACTGTTCGTGGGTCTGCAAATGATATAGGATGGCTGAAACGTGATCCAGAGATGCCATCAGTTGAAGATGGAACTGGGAGGTTTACAGAAATTCTTGAAGATATTAGGTAAATGGGGTGCCTACCATATTTTACGCTGGCAATATTTCCTGGCATGGTTATGCAGTTCTTGATTAGTTGGCCCTCTTTTGTCAGGCATGGTCTGCACAAACTGCCAAACTCGATGGTTTATTTATTGGTTCCAGGTATCTATGCAAATTTCACCCCTTAAAACAACAATATTTGTATTCTGGGCATTGGGAGAGATGAAAAAAATGGAGAAATGGGAAGAGAGGGGGGGGATTGATTCTGATGTACTCAAGTAAAGATAACAGTGTACTTATTATTCCTAACTGAACTCATTCTTTTGGGCAATACCGGTTCTTGATTAAAGGTTTGTATAAACAGGTTAAAACACCAAAAAATTGTTTCTTGAAAATTTCAGGGAACATGAAACCTTCTTGGAAACAGCATTACAAAATCCTTAGTTGAGTTTGACTTCCATACCTAGGATATGCACGGTCTATCTTCATATCAGCTCTGAAAGACATGATGTCTTTTAGAGGTGAAATAAAGAATGTAGGTTCGTTTATTATTGCCTTTATATAGCTATAGGCTATAGCAAGTGATTAAGATTCTACCTTGGATTTGAACTGGCTAAAAATCAGTTATGCAAGCTTGGGGCTACGAATATACTAAAATGTAACAAAGGCTGAAGTTGACTTGAAATTCACAATTTAACCTTGAACTTAATCTTTTGGATGGTGAAGTTGATGCATTATTGGTTATGACAAGGATAGTAGATGCGTTGTGGGATTGTTTCTATTATGTTATTTTAATTCTTTTTTATAAATTAAGATTCGTTTCTATTATGTTATTTTAATTCTTTTTTATAAGTTAAGATTCGGTATTTCTGTGTTGCTCAATTGCTTACCTCTGGTAATTGTCATATTTGGCAGGTCTTTTCAGCAACCATGGGCCTCTTTATTTTGTCAGTACAAAAACAAGTTTCTCAAAGATGGGTCTTACTTGTCATATTGCCAAGATTCACAGTGAGGTATATTCAATCACTATTCTCTTCTGCTGTTCTGTTCTTTAGCATACACTGAACATTGAACAATCACTAATCAGGCTTCAGTTGAGAAAAATGCTGGAGAGATAAAAGATTACATTGAGGAAATTTATTGGGGTTCTGGGAAACGTGTTTTGCTTCTTGGACATAGCAAGGGGGGAGTTGATGCAGCGGCTGCTCTATCTATGTATTGGCCTGATTTGAAAGATAAGGTTGCTGGGTTGGCATTAGCACAGAGTCCGTATGGTGGGAGTCCTATAGCTTCAGATATCCTAAGAGAAGGACAGCTTGGTGATTATGTTAATCTACGGAAGCTTATGGAGATTCTAATTTGTAAAGTGCTTAAGGTATGCAAGTTGTCTTTTATATGGTTTCTTTGCTCTCGAGTGTATAAATTATTGACAGCATAATCATAAAGGATGCGTCCAAAATGAGTCTACTTTCCAGTGAAGTCTAGTCGCATAATCTTTTAATAATTTGTAGCCCTTCCCAATTTATTTTTCTGACAATCTTCACATGAAACATTCCGACTGTAAAGGGTGACATACAATCTATGGAAGACTTGACTTACAAGAAGAGGAAAGAATTTTTAAAGAAACACCATTTACCAACGGAGCTTCCAGTTGTGTCTTTCCATACTGAAGCTAGCATCAGTCCTGCAGTACTGGCAACATTATCTCACGTTGCTCATGCTGAGCTACCTATGGTGGCTCCTCTGTCCACTGGCCAGCCTAAGAGACTGCCCGTGGTCATGCCCCTTGGAGCTGCAATGGCTGCATGTGCCCAGTTGTTGCAGGTCAGGTATAAGGAACAAAGTGACGGGCTTGTGGCACGTTGTGATGCAGAAGTCCCAGGATCTGTCGTGGTGCGCCCAACACGGAAGTTAGACCATGCCTGGATGGTTTATTCATCCTTGAAGGATGACCCTTCTGACGCAGATGCAGCCCAAGTGTGTGAAGCTCTTTTGACATTGCTTGTGGAAGTTGGGAAGGGAAAAGGAGATGAACACTCGATGAAAGATGAATGACTTAAAGCAGTTCATCTCGTTGCCACGCCCGGTTGTAACAGGTTAACTAACTCATCAATATAGGTTTTCAGTATTGTTTTTCCGTGCGATGTCAGTATTTCAATCGAAGTCTAACATTTTTAGACTTCGATGGTGTATATAGCTGAAAGTTAGCCAGATCCAAATGCATGATAATGATCAAAGAGTACGAGAGGAGTTGATTTTATATATAGCTCAGCTTCCCCAATTCTCGAGAAGTCGGTTTTTTAAGTAACCACAATTGCACTTCCGTTTGGTGTATAGATGAAACGGAACTCACCATGCATGTAAGACCAAATAAATATAAATCAACAGCAACAAGTTGATATTACATGGTTAAATTTTTGGTTTATACCTTCAAATCTTTTCAGTAATGGAACATTATTTTTTGAAATATATATTTTTTATGTAAATTTTGAAATTTTAGTATATACATGTTATGTATTTTGAGATATTGTGTATTTTGAATGCTTCTTTTTAATTTTATCATATTACAAATTTGCAATGTTGTAAGAACATGTGTATACTGTAATTGAAGAATCTATCTCCTTTCAAGTTGTTATGTATTAAATTTGCACATATTCATATAAATAGGGACGAACGCGAGATTTTATGTTAGAGGGGACGAATTTGAACTTATAAAATTTTAAGGTGCCGAATAAAATTTTATGAGGTGAAAACAGATTTTCAATTCAAAATACATAAAAAAAAACTAAAATATATAGTATTTTTAGATTTTTAGTGGGCGACCGCCCCTACCTACCCCGCTTAGGTCTATCCCTGCATATAAACTAGTTTCATACTAAATTTTCATATAGTATAGGTCAGAGTGTAATTTTTTTTCCGACAAAAGTAATTTTGTTAATATAGAATAAGATGAATTTAAATTATATGTTTCATTAAAAACCTTACAAATTTAGTTTTTTTTTCATTGGTGTGTCGTTCATTTCTTTTCTTTTTCATCTTTGTTGATCGGTGACGACACCAACTTTAATGTTGGTTGCCGACTGCCGGTATTCTTCATTTTCTTTTCTTTTTCTATATCACATCTTTAGTTTCTTTTGTTTTTTGACTTTTTATAAGGCTGCTTGTGTTGCACGTTTTTATATGCCTTTATAACACGTTTTCTTATGCTTTTTGGTATATTTTTCAGTTCTTTGGTCGTTTTTTATTTATCTTTTTTCTAAGGGTCGATTTGACATCGCCATGCTGCTCAAGATGTCGCTTATTTGATATCTTGTGATCTTCCCTGCTTTGGATCCTCAGATAAGATTTAGATACTCGATTTTTGTTCGTTGATAGCTTTTCATGTCGCTCGAGTCTGATTTGCAGTTTGCCATTGGTCTTTCAATAGCTTGATCCCCTTTTATGGTTTGTTTTCTGATGCGATTAGATCTGTTTGTATTTATCTTTGTTCGAGTATGATTTGTTCTAGTTTTGTTTCAATGATTATAGGAAATTTTCCTAATTATGTGCTTAATTTACTATTGTGAATGTAAATCTTTATTGTAATTTGAGATATTTCCTATTTTGAATAAAATTAGTTGCTTCTATTAAAAAACATATAATATTAGTTAATGTTTAAAGGATAAAATTTGATATTTATATAGTTAAAAGATATCGAAATATTAATAAATGTATATGATTGAAATGTCAACTTCGACATTTTTCAACTGAATTTTATTTTTATAATTTTTTTTTATAAAAAAAATCAAAGTTTCTCCTTGGATCAAACTCCATCTCAAAATAATTTTGACAAAAATATTATTAAAATTATATAAAAAATTATCGAAAATTTTACATTAAAAAATCCCTAAAATAACAAGAAAATATTATTAGCTTGTTATTCTTACATTTTCCATGCAGTCTTCGTTGCATGTGAGACACAAAGTGTGAGATAAGGAGGGTGATGTCATTTGCCACTAGGAAGGGTTAAACCAATAGAAAGATAGTGCTTGCATGACTTTTGGGATATGGGGAAATGAGTTTCTTTAGTAAGATAATGGTGTCGCCTTGTCTGGGCTCTCCTACTTGTGAATACACACATCTTGGGAATCTCTAATGTTTTCCTTTTGAAACCTGATTCCTCCAAAAATCACAAAAGTTGGTGTTGGCCAAAAGTAAAACTATTCATTCCCTCCCATCGCCTTCATTTCTATGCCTCCAATTCCCTTCAAGACAAACAACTTTGCCATGGAATCATTGTTTTCGTTCTTTGGGAGTCTTTTTTCCAACCCTAGACTGACATATAACTAGCAAGAGTTTACCTTTTATTTTGCATGGTAATTGCTTTAGCTATAGCTATGTAGTTTCTTTAGAGATCACTTTAAATTAACTCTTCATTGCTGTCTAATAGAGGTTATTAGGTTAATATTTTTTGTTTTCGGTGTTCAATATTCACAAAAGTCTCGATTAAATTTAGAGTTGAGTTAGATCAGATCTTATTTTAGACTACTAGTTTTTTTTTTCATCCAAAAACTAAATTTAAGAAACTGATAAAGAATTTTAAAAGTTAGAGTCAATTATTGTGTGAACTTGGGAAGAATTATGAAAAAATTATTCCATATATATATATATATATAGATGATGAATACACTCTTTAATTTCCTAGTAGTACTAGTAGTCCAAGGAGAATGGCTCCTCAATCCGGAAACCAGCATCGATTGCACATATTTGCCATGTTGAAGAATAAAACCCGAATCCATTGCTTCGATCCGTGACATCGATCGTGAGATCAGGCAGATCAAACAAGGTGTCGTCATCATCGATCGAGGGTGAACTTGAAAGAGGAACTTGATCATCTTGGCTTGCTCCAACTTCGGCTTCTGCTTCATGTCCGGCTTTGATATTGCACCACCCTGTCTCGAGAAATGTCGAGGCAGCTGCGAGCGAAGCAGCTGCTTGGATCTCCTTGGGGGACGTACTGGCGGGTCGTGGAAGTTGTTTTGCTAGTTGAGGGAAATTAAGGTAAGCTGAGCGGCCCTTGATGGCCAGTGCGGCTACATCATGAGCTCGAGCAGCCATTTCGGCCGTGTGGTATGTTCCGAGCCATATTCTCGATTTCTTCCTCGGTTCTCGGATTTCAGACACCCATTTTCCCCAGCTCCGCATTCGCACTCCGCGATATGTCGGGTGCTTCTTGCCATCACCAATATCACTTGTCCTTAGTCTTTTCTTCTTCTCATTATCATTTTCCTTTGACCTCTTAGGATCTATACTATATTTTGAAGTGGAGGAGGATATGGCGGCAGCGGCGGAGGCAGCGGAGATAACGGGAGAAGAGGTAAGCATGTTATGATGAGCATCATTCTCAATGTTGATATCTCTTTCCATGACTGATAAGAGGCGTAGTTGTTGAAGGAACTTTGTGTGGTTGGCATATAACACAGTGGTATATAGAGCTTATACGATTCTTCCATGAGTTTTAAAAGGAAAAAGAAATGCATAAGAAATCAATAAAGAACAAAGAATTAAAGAAGGTTGGGTCCATGGCATAAAGCAAGTACAGTTCGGCCCTTTCAGCTAATTTTGCTACACGCTTAGAGGCAGAGCTAGTGAGAGATATTTTTTTAATATAATTATCGGCGATTAATTCAAACCAGATATTACAGATGTTTATTTTCTTATAATTTCTATACGCATTAGGAGATGGTAGGCCAGTGTACATATGAACGTTACCCTAGGGCCCTCCAAGTAGTCCTTCGAATTTCACATTTATGCTTTCTTTTTAACTTTTATTTTAACATTTTCTTCACGTTCTTCGATTGAACTGGTTCAAGTACTTTATCCAAAGTTAGCTCGTTGATATATCGCCTTCAGCTTGGGCCAACTATGTCTCGTACGTGACCTCCCTGCCCTCTCTGCCATAACTTTTCAAACTAGTTAGCCAATTCAATCAAAATGCCACTTCTGTTCTTCATTCAACATCAGTCATAAAAAAAAAACCCTCATGTACCACAAATGTTTTGATTAAACAAGTGCTGCCAGAAACGTACGAGTAGAACCCTCTGCAAGTCCTCCATTAAACCCTATTAGACCTTCCATTTTTCTCCTAACTCCCCAAAATTATCACCGACGAAACTTTCCACACTACATACTATATTAATATATAAATAGATATACATTATAGCCGTAATTAGGGGCACATGGACCACCTAGGTCTTGGAGATGTTTCTAATATTTGTCTTTGGGCACAGCCTTGCCCCATCAAACAAACTTCACATCTGTCCCTCCCTCGTGCAATAGTGCTGCATACTTTAACGTTTGCATTCCCAAGTTTATAATGTAATTTTTTAGCTTCGTCTCCTTCCACCACCATTAATAATATAACCAGAGGTTCTTGGAACTTCCATGGGTACAGTAGTACAGACTAATTTTTAAACAAAATAAATTTAAACTGAAACTTTGATATAATGATAATTAGAATCTAAGACCTCATCCGTAACTATGTCAACAAATTCATCATTGGCTTAGAAATAATTATATTCCCCTTAACATATATATCTTTGAATAAAAGGACAATTTATGGCACAATTATTGTGATTTGTGAGAGATTGGCCACCATTGTCTAATCCAAACCACCCCTAATTGCTTTACATCATTTCAATTAACAAGCTAGTTAAGTCTAATCAAGCTTGGGGCTGCTAAGCCATATGCCAGATGAGATAGATAGTAAGTTACTCGAGATTGACTCTGTCAAAACTTGATAAATACTCGACTCGAGTTTTTAACGAGCCGAAACGAGTTACTTAGTACTCGACTCGAAAAGTTCGTGAGCAACTCAAAAATATAATATGATTTTAATTTTTTCTAAAAAATAAATTATTAATAATATTAACATTTATGTGTTGATTTTTTTAAATGTAATATATGGTTTTCTTGTGTTTAAAGTTTATGTTTGAGTTTGAGTTTGAGGCATCAATTGAATTAAGTTTAAGATTTTTTTTTAATTTCAAGCTTTTAGGAGCTTCAGTTCATGATTTCGAGTTCTATTCGAACTTGAAAATTTTAAACTCGTGAATTTTCGAGTCGAGTGAAGCTCTATTTCAAAATTTTCGAGTTGAACTCAACAATACCCAAACTAAACTCGACTCAACTAGTTTACAGCAAGAGATTTCTTTGTCAATTAGTAATGGCGCAATTAGGTTGACGTTGATATATGGATGGACCATCCGTAGGTAATGATTATAAGAATCCAGGACTTGAAACAACATTCCAAATTTGTTAGGAACTGTGAACGAAAAAATAACTAAAATGATGTTAGTGTAAAATAACACACATTAAGAGATTATAAGTTAAGTATTCAATCTTTTTTAAATTCTATATATGAAAAGAATAATAATATATTATAAATTAGAGATCATAAAAAATATACATATTTAATCATTAAGAAGCCTAATTTTATAAAGCTTTATCTAAAATTAATATTTATTTATTAAATAAATTTAATTGTTAAATATATTTTTAACCACTAAAATGATAATAAAATATAATTTAATTATCAATTAAAATTTGAATCAATATCTAATAATTATAAAATATTTAATAGAAAATAGAGTAGACATGGAAATTAAGCCATTGAAGCTGGCTAGGAATTGTGGATTGAGATGGAGTGGATGCAACGACGGAGCCACAGTTTGCATAAAAATTTGATTTTTAAATAGTTATTTATTTTACTGATAATACTTATTTTAAAATTTTTTGTGTCCATCCTAAAATTTAAATTTTCTTCGATTAATTAATTGTTTTACAGACAATGTCCACCTTAAAATTTTATTTATATTTATCATATTTAAAAAATTTATATTATTAAAATATAACTGTTGTTTATTATAAATAATTTCCCCTCAATCTTCAAACGAAGCTTCTCTTTCCTTCTTTTTGTTTCATCTTCGTCTATTTTTTTTTTCTTTTCTTTTGGAGCTTAACATAGGCCATTATGCAATTTATGTTTTTAAGTGGTAACCAAACCTCACATGTTGTCTAGAGCTACAAATGAACTCAACTTTAATGCACAAATATATAATTCTATTTTTTGTTTACTTTTAAATTACTTGTATTTATAAATATTTTAAAAATATATTGTATTCATTTGTTTACACTTAAATATTTATATTTTTTCGTTTAATATTTAAATATATGTTTATTTAGGGTTCATGAACGTAATAAATGAACATATTTAATAACATTAACCGGATAGATTTGTGAACATATAATTAAAAATATATGTTCTTTTTTATTTTTGTGTTTGTGTATAGAGTAAATTGAGTTAAGAGGGTTGACCCCAGAATGGTAGGGGTGAGCGTTCGATCGAGTCGAGTAGAGTCAAAAAATTGAATTATTCAAGTTGACGAGTCCTATTTTACAACTCGGAGTTGACTTGAAATTTTTTCGAGTCGAGTTTATAAAATTAGAGTAGAGTCGAGTTGAGTCGATTTTTCGAGTTTCTGTTTAATTTTAATTGTAAATATTTTTAATATTATAATATTATTTGGTTCTAATTTAAGTGACTTTCTATAACCAATACGATACAAATATATTTCTTTTTATTTTTTTCATATGTAATATACATATCTCATACAAAGTCGAAGGACTCGGCTCAAACTTAAAAATAAATCCACCAAGTACTAAAAATTTTGAGTTATTTGAGTTGTATTTTACAACTTGATTTGAACTTGAAATTTTTTCGAGTCGAGTTTATGAAATTGCAACTCGATGTCAATTCGAGTCGAGTCAAGTTTTGCTCACCCCTACATAATGGGCATTTGTAAAATCCGACCTGGATTAGTCGATTAATAGATCGGATACCATCGATTAATTAAAAAAACGTATTTGTAGACTTCTTTTATAAAAAAAAATATTTTAAATTTCTTTTATAAAAAAATTAATAAATTTGTTTGTATATATAAATAAATCAAATATATTTATATTTAAACTCGTTTATTTAATAAATAAATATATTTTTTTTGTTGATATCGGTTAACATAAACAAGCGGTTACGAGTCTATTGTCAGAATGAAGAAGTTGAATTCAGATATTGAGAAATTTGATTAGTTTTGGATTGTTTATGATATAAATTTGACTATTCATAAATTAAGCTTAATATTGTTAATTATCATACACGTTGAAGGGCTATTTTAGAGATTAAATTTGATCAAGCTAATTTAATTTAAAAGGAAATTGAATTAACAAAGGTTGAAGATTCCTTTGAAGGTGGACAGAAACTGATATATTTATAAAATCAAAAATAGCATCTAAACAAAATAAATATATCCATGAAAAGTCACTGAGATAAAAATAGCACAAAATACTGGAAAAGAATGCATGTAAAAAATAACGACCCAAGATACTAAAGCGGTCAGTACCACACATAAGTTCCGGGCAATGTGGCATCTTACTGCTGATGTTGGTCCGAGTTCCGCCTCTTTACCTCCTCGGCACCGACATCAAGCTCGATGCTTATCTTCCGGCATTGCTCCGGTGAAAGTACTCCAGATTACGGGGAAATAACATTGAAACGGATTATTAGATTGCCCTTCACGGAAGGTCTCTTGTGATGGGGCATACCCTCATCATCAATAACCTTGTCTTGACCTAAGCAAGGGTAGAGAAGATGAGTGGATATGGTCTCGAATTCGAATGTTGTCGTAATCGATTTTCGGCGATACATTGTGTCTTGACTTGTTTCTGAAAATTTCAATTTTTTAAAAAGAAATATTTTGGAGTCGCCATCGACCTTTTGGATTAGGTATGTCGAATACCTATAAACCGTATTTTAAAATAGTTTTTAAGAAAACATCAGTTTAAAAGATGCACCAATCTACATATAACCAGAAATTCATTTACTTTTTGTAATAAAAAGGGTTTAGGGTCGATTTCGTGTGGGGAATGATAAACACCCCACAACGCCCAAAATTGGTATCCTATCGATTATAAATTGTCTTTAATAGTACAAATCTAAGAATTCAAATATAAATTTAAGTTACGATCATATTATTCCAAATTCCACCATACAATTTTATTACGATCATATTATTCCAAATTCAATCATACAATTTTTATTTAACAAAAAATTCTAAGGAGAAATAGAAAATATTCCAACATTTCCAATCGAAGAGAAAATAATCCCCAAAACACTTTAAGACGGATATTTCTCTTGCCAACTGAAATAAAAAATATATAATAATTTATCCAAGAATTCGAGATTAAATAATGTGATTCGATCAAAATAAGAAATTAAGCCAATTAACCCAAATTATAAATTTAATTAGAAAAGATAAAAGATGTTCAATTATTTAAAAGGATAAAAATTAGACGAATTGTCTCGACAAGTTTAAATAAAGGAACATTTCATTTTCCTTTTATTCTTGATTTAATTTATGCATACTCGATTTTTAATATTATTCTAATAGAGCATTTATTTATTTTAAAATATCAAAATAGGACATATGGTTACTTTAAGACAGTAATTTCTTAATATTTTAAAATAAATACTACCTTTAGTCCAATTATGAAATCAGTTGAGTTATGCTTATGAGGCTTTCATATATATTCAAAATGTCTAGATCTATATGCACAAACAAAGTTATATAAATAAAACAACGGCCAAACACCTGAGAAAAAAATGAAAATCATGTCAGAAAGACAGAGATAAACGTGACATAAACTATAAAGATAGAGATAAACATGTCACAAATATATAATTATTCTTATTAAAAAATAAAAAAATAAAAGAAAAAAAGAACCGATGGTCGGCAACCAACATCAAAACTAGTATAATCGTCGGCTAAATAAAATCGAAGAAGAAAAATTTGATTTACTTTATAAAAACGATACAAACTAAAAAAAAAGGGGAGGGGGAGAGCCGCTAGAGGAAGAGGAGAGCGACTAGGAATACATGTATTATTGTCGTTTGACATTTATGTAAGGATGAATATTTGATGCATAAAAATATATAATTTTAAATACATATATGCACCAAAGCCCTTTGATTCCTTATTGAACCCTAAAGCTTGAAGCTACAAAAATGGATCCCTCGAGGACAAAAATTTATCAGAACGTGTTGGTTATGAGGTAAGGTGAGCATTTCGATCCAACGTGGGAAAAAACAGCCGACAAGCCATGGGACTTGCCACTCGTTGAGAGCGGTTGAGCTAGGGCTTTTCGGATCGGTCGTGCGTTTCAAACCCTCCCGTTCCCAATTCATCGCGTCAAGATGGAAACATATGTGCTTTGATCGACAACGAATTATATCGAACACAAGATGAATTAATATTAAATATATTCATAGATTAAATACACCTATAAGGTTTAAAATATATTCACCTTCATCTTAACGAGTACGAGCATGAATGAAATTAAGTTTTGTAATTAGGGGTCGGAATGAATTTATAACTTTTCAAGAGATTGAAGTGCAATTTTTCGGTTGGACTAATTTATAATTACATAACTTCTTGAGAAACTAAGGGTCCATTTGTTTCACTGAAAAATAAATTACATTTCCTGAAAAACAGTTTACGAAAATCATTTTTTGGTGTTTGGATGATGTGTAAGATATTTTACACTGTTTGGTAAATTTTCCTGAAAACATTTTCCGAAATCTGTTTTTAGTTGAACAAGCACATTATAATTTATTTTTTTATTGAATTAATTTTATTACTATAAAATTATATTATGTAAAATTTTAAATGTATATTAATTTTTTGTAATGATAGAATATTTTAAAAAATTACAAATAGAATACTCAACAAGTTAATGAAGATAACTATAAATTTATTTTTCTCCATTATATGCAAACATGGTTTGAATTTATCTTTATAAAAAAAATATAATTAAATAATGAGAAATACAATGAATTTAAAATATACTATTTTTCTTTCTTTATTTCTTTTTTGGGATGAAATGTGAATTTCATTAACCAAAATGCAGTAATTCACTATAAAAATACAAGACAATAGCCTACCACAACACCACCAAACAATCAAGCAACACAACAAACGACAAACTGCAACAAAATAACTTGCAGTAATAAATCAACTACACAAAGCATCCCAATCCAACTATGCTTTACAATCAACAATACAAAATCAATCAATACTCTAATTTATACAAAGTATGATTTTTTTCAATAGTGAAATGTTTTGTGAAACAAAAAATGAACTACCATATTAATGTTTCAAACCATATATCAAGTTTTCCAATTTAACCGGGTCTTCTCTAAATGTTTATGATGAATATTGATATAATTTCTTTGAGAAGTAGTTTCATTTGACTTATCTGCTATATTATTTTGGATGGTTATTTTCACCCTTTGTTCTAAATGTTTACGATGAATATTGATATAATTTCTTTGAGAAGTAGTTTCATTTGACTTATCTGCTATATTATTTTGGATGGTTATTTTCACCCTTTGCGGCATAACCTTATCCTAGTTTCTGTTATACTGCTGGTCTTCATGTTTTATCTTCAGAATCTGCTAAAGTTCCTTGGTTTGATAGTGTTTTTGCCGATATTGGCGATGAGCATTCCTTGTCTCAATCATTATCTACATTCTCTGGACACTTGAAACAAATTAGTGTAAGAATGATATACTTTGTATAACTTTTCCTGCTTGTTTGAGATGAGCCAATAAAATAGCCAGGTAGAGCACAAACAAGTTTCTTGGACACTTCAAAATGTATGACTGGCTGTAGTGTAAATGTTCAACATTTTACAACAACAAAGTCATCTTCATAGACTTCAAAGCAGTTGGACATCATTCCTAAGATTAATAGCTTGGAGACTTTGATTCATTCCTTGAAGTTCAGGATTTTAGTTGCAAACTACGAATACTCAAGTTTTGGGGATTAAATACTACACAGACACAGTGCTCTGGTTAATAATTTCTTGACACATTTTTCATGTTGCAGGAAATCCAATCAAAGTCGACAAGCCAATCACTCGTGCTATTAGATGAAGTATGTTTCAATTAAGCATCTTGTAATTACTTACCTCAATTAAAAGTGAGGTTGAAAAGAAGAAAAATACTTAAGTTACAAACAAATCTAAAACGGATTTTCCCCCATTCCGTATCTGTCAGGTCGGTGCTGGAACTAATCCCCTTGAAGGAGCAGCACTAGGGATGTCTGCTAGAATCTTTTGCTAAAAGTGGCGCATTGTTGACAATAGCTACAACGCATCATGGCGAACTTAAAACTTTGAAATACAGGTATATAGTTGCTTGCTAAAGATGTACTGCTTACTGCAGTCTATTCACAATTCTACTTTTTGAAGGATATGCAATCTTTATCAGGTCATGTTTTATGATTATTGAAGTTTCAACTCACTCATATAAGAAAGATCAGCTGGTACCTATCTTTTGGCTCTTGCATCTATAATAAGGATTGTGCTACTGAACCAAATTCTTGATATATTATGTTTGGCAGTAATGATACTTTTGAAAATGCTTGCATGGAGTTTGATGAAGAGAATTTGAAGTCAACTTACAAAATTCTCTGGGGAGTACCAAGTATTCAGTCTTAATTATGTGACTACTGACTAAATTTGAGAGTTGTTCCTCATAGAGTCATGATATCAGACAATAACCCAAAAATCGTCTTCATTCATGGATTCTTTGACAGTACATCACTAGCTACTAAAAAACAATTTGAAAACTTCAATTTTTTGTGAAAATAAAAGTAAACCCATGAACAATTATTACGTAATTTAAACAGGAAATAAAAATCGACGTTGATCAAACATCGACAAGTGAAAAAGTCATAAGAATCCAAAGACATTTCAGAAAAATAAGATGAAGAACTAAAGGATTGGGAGAAACAGAAAGAACCTGTAAAAAGCTTTAGAGTGACGACAGTGAACCCGTGAAAAATTGATGAGAGGAAGAGAACCAGAGAGGGGAAGAAAGCCGATGAGAAGAGCAGATGATGATTGACGATGGTGAACTGTGTAGGCTAGAGTCTGAGATGGAGAATTTGGAGAAGCAGAAAGAACCTGGAAGAGGCTTTGGAAAATGACTTACCGAGAAATTTTCAGTAGGTTGTTTTCCGCGTTTCATTCCCTTTTTCCCCTTTGACTGTAATTTCTTTTCCTTTGACCACAATTCATTTTCCCAACCAAACATCAGAAAATGGGGAAAGTCTATAAAATACCTCAAACAAACAGACCCTAAAAGGCAATTTCATTGTTTTAGGAGTAAAAGCCATCATTGTATGTCCCTCTAGCTTCGTTCCATAGTACGAGGAGCATATATGAAGAAACTATCAATGCTCTAGCGATAAATATCCATAAAAAAATAATAATAATAACTTGGAGCATACATTGAAACCTCTCATTTCTTTCTCTACATTGACCTCAGTTGTTTATCTTGCTAAGGCCAAAGTCCCTTTTTATTATTATATTAAAACTCATGTGTATGGCGGTTTCATACTTACGTAACCACTTTTTGTTCTCCTTTTATTTGGTAAATTTAACAAAGATCTTCAATGTTTTGTCATAATTCCACTCCAGTCCATCAATTTTTGAAGAAGTAAAAACACATTTCTTCCCAAAAATATAATTGACGAACACAGTCCCCGTTATAATTTTTTATACATTTTTGGTGATATATTTATATATCAAATAAAACATTACAAATATTATGGATTTATTTTTATTAAAACTACTGGGAAATACTTCAAATATTTAAGTATCAAAAAACAATGCAAAAATTACTTCACAGTGAAGAAGCGAGAGATTAGAAGTTTAGAATTCTAGGCTAACTTCATAAAATCATACGACTCAGCTGAAAAGAAGGTTTTCGTTTATGGATGAGATATACATATTATAAAAACTAATGCACTAGAGTTTCGATTATTGCAAAGTCTTGGTATCCATGGCGAAATTTTCCCTTTCTCTTTTATTATTTATTCCAAAGTCTTTTTCTTCTCTTTTTTAGTTATTTAAAAACTACCCATAAGATGCAAAGCTAAACGTTCGTCTTTTTTTAATACATTTGTTTTTGTCATTTGATATTTAGGTAAGGATGAATGTTGATGCGTTAATAATATATAATTTTAAACATACATTAATAAATTAATTAGTAAAATATTATTAAAAATAAATTTAATTTTAAAATAGTATAATAATATTATCATTGAAGACGCATAAAATTATAAACTTGAATACACGAATATTACCTTCATTTTCGATATATAAACTACACTTAAAGATTGAACTTTCCCGGAACATGTTCTAATGAAGCACGAAAAGGTAATGTTTTTTGTTTTTAATTGCAATACAATAAAATACGAAAAGCATTCCTTTTTTCCCAAACAAGTTTTTTTTTGAATTAATCACTGATATCTGATCTATTAACCGCCTAATCCAGATCGGGTACTGCAGAGTCGAGGGCGACCCTCCCAACCCAGTTTACTATATTCACAAACGTCAGGATTCAAACCCATAACATTACTCAAAAAACCTAATATATCATCTCACTAGATCGATTGGTTGTTGGTACACACAAGATTCTCTTAATTCATCACCTAATACAATAAAATATAGAGCAGGGATTAAAATATGGAACATTATGCAACTGCTTGGTAGTTTCTTGGCAAACCCCGGTTTCCACTCGTATAAAACTTGACACCACCAAAGCCCTTTGAACCCTTGTAGAAACCTAAAGCTTGAAGCTGCAGCAATGGATCCCTCGCAGGTAAAAACTTATCAGAACGTGTTGGTTTTGAGGCACGGTGACCGTATGGACCTCTTCGATCCCACGTGGGCGAAAACGGCGGACAGGCCATGGGACTCACCGCTCGTAGAGAGCGGTTTCGCCAGGGCTTTTCGGACCGGCCGTGCGTTTCAAACCCTCCCGTTCCCAATCCACCGCGTCTTGGTCTCTCCCCTCCTCCGCTGCGTCCAGACCGCCTCGGAAGTTGTCACTGCCCTTTGCGCCGTTGATGACGATCCTAATACCAAGTCATCACGCGACGTAGTGTCCATCGATCCATCCAAAGTCAAGGTCAGAATCAGAACCTTCTTTTTCTTCCCTTTAAATGGTTGAGGAGCTCACTTCATAATTGTATTTTACAGGTTTCAGTTGAGTACGGGTTGTGTAACAAGTTAAATACAGCCGCAACTAAGCTTGGTATTGTGCCTAAATATGGAATCTTTCATTTCGATGTTTCAAAGCTTGAGACTTTGTTTCCAAGTGGAACATTAGATCGTACAGTGGAACCAGTTTATACAGAGGTAGTGTTTGACTGAGAGTAGCCGGGCGTTGTTTTATCAGCTTGATTCAGCTTCTTTGTCTGAAAATTACAGATGCCGCCGTGGGATGAGACATGGAAGGATACGAATAGTAGAAATGAACAAATGATTCGGGTACTGGCTGATAAATACCCATCAGAAAACCTGCTATTAGTAGCACATTGTAAGCTACATTCTTCGATTATTAGACAAGGTTATGTTGAACAATTTACCTTTTTGTTTCATTGATTTTGAATTATTGTCTATATACATTTCATGTGCAAGGGACTGGAGTTGAAGTTTCAGTTCATGCGTTCAAGGAGGACACTCGTGTTACTAAAGTAGCTTATTGCGGGTATTCAGAACTGAGACGGCCAGTTTGTTGGGAAAACCTGACATTTACTGCTGGAAACTTTGAGGTTCTCACAGAAAGTGGCCGGACTGGCGTTACTTACAAGGCAAAGTTGCAACTTTAGCGATTAAACCACGATGAAGATGACTCGGATTTCATTCGAAGCATAGCTCGGCCTTCCTCTTGATGTGTCTATTTTTCGGTTATCTTTCCTTGTGTTTTTAAGTTTAAACTTCGTGTCAGTTGTTGATGTTCATCAAATATCAGTTTTACGCATATGTTCAACTCGTTGTTGCTTTACAATATTCATCATTTAAGATGAAAAGGAAACAAAAATAAATGACCAGCAGTCAACTTGAAACTTTCTTTTATTTATTTTATTTTTGACATAAATCTGCCGTTTGGGTACTTTATTAAAACAAATAGAAAACAACTAACATTACCAAAAAAAAAAAAAGTAGGAAAGCTAGCAGCCACTTATCCACACAACAGAAAGCAAAAAAACAACAACATCGAAGCAAAGAGAAAAAACAGGAACAAAAACGGAATAACAATCTGGAAAAACAAAACCCCAAGAGGAGACGACGAAACTCTTTTGCTCTCACAAGCAAGTGAAACCACTAAAGAATCGAGCAAGAAGAAAAAGAGATGGGTTCCAAAAGAAATTAGCAATAGGGACCCCTCAGAAAACAAGCATAACCAACATCAAGTTGGGTCAAGGTGACGTTGTTCAACTTCGACGAGAGCAAGGACGGAATGAAGAGCATCTTCCACCAAAAATAGGTCAATCATTTTATTCAAACCTTCTGATGCGAGAGCGTGGGCCACTTTGTTTGCAGATCTCGTGGTGAAACAGAAGTGGCACTCACTAATCTGAGCTCTTTTCGCTTCTATATCATCTATATAGGATTTGATTTCAGAAAGGCCCATTTCAGCTGATCTGCATCTCTCCACAATAGTCTGAGCATCACCTTCGACCACCAGACGATGGAAACCCAATTCCTGTGAAAGCGATTGCCTCAGCAGAAAAGGTCAATTCAACATTGTAAGAGATTCTATAACAAGAACCCAAAATTTGTCCATCATGATCTCTTATAACACACCCAGATCTGGCTATCTGTGAATTTTCAGGTAAGCTGCATCCACGTTAACTTTCACTAAAGGATCCAAAGGGGGATCCACAAAGACGATGAGTTCGGATCCGGGTGGCTAAGAGAGCTTATCAAGGACTTAAGCTCATTCAGGTAATCCTTCACAAAAGTAAACACTTCTTCATGACTTGGATATTTACCCTCATAAACGAGTATGTTCCTTGAGAACCCAAGAGCCCATCTTGTGATTGCCTGTTTTAATTTTTGTTTTTTTTTCAAATTAATTGTTACCCATTCGAACCACTTTATATAGTTTAAGGCTAACACATTACTAGGCCAAGTGAAACCAAGATAATGCCACACGTTTTGAGCGAAAGGGCAACCGCGAGCCACATGAATAACAAATTCAGTATGATAATGAAACCTCGGGCAAAAAGGGTTTTGGGCTATTCTCTTAGTAAAAAGATTCTGGAAAGTAGGCACAAAATTATTGAAAATTTTCCATAGAATAATACGCACCTTACCCGGACAGTCAATAATCTTCTACAACTTGTTTAAAGTGGCTTTGACGTTTGAATACACCAAATGATCCTCAAAGAGCATCTTATATCCGCTGCGAACGATATAGCCTCGTTCGTTCCCCACTCCAGGAGTGTGAATCCCTGATGATCGAGGAAGGTATACGAATCATGTTAATCCTGTCGACCTCCTCCCTCGAGAAATTAGATTCTAGAAGACACGAATTCCAAGATCTTTCACTTTAATTTATCATATCAGCTACAACATTTAATCTATCAATTGGTTCCGTAGAAATATTCATCTTGTCATTTCCTGTAGGCCAGTAGTCGTTCCAAATAGACACCAAATCTCCTGTGTCTATTCTCCAACAAATGCCAGCATCAAGAAGCCCCTAGAGCTCTACACACTTCGCCAAATCAGAGAGGGATTGGAGCCCAAACGAGCTTTAGAGAAGGTAGAAGATGGGTAATATTTGGCTCAAAAAACACGCGCCACAAGGGAATCCGAATTATGAAGAAGCCTCCAGTCTTGCTTAGCTAACAAAGCAATGTTAAATTTTCCTATATCTCTAAAGCCCATCCCACATTCATCCTTCAAAGCGCTTAAACTAGACCATGTACACCAATGAACCCCTCTTTTAGTATTAGTATGGGACTACCAGAAGTGAACCATGATAGATTCAAACTTATTGCAGAGAGTCTTAGGGAGCAGAAATAGGACATGGCAAAGAGGGGAAAAGCTTGGAGGGCAGACTTAATAAAGACCCTTTTACTACCCATGGTGAGATACCGAGAGCTCTAACTATTTATCTTACCTTCGAATTTATCCACCAAAACTGCGAAAGCACGACGCTTATTTTGCCCAACAACAACAGGAAGACCCAAATATTTTTTCGGGCAATCAGAAATATTCACCTCTAAAATTTGTCTTACATCTTCCTTGATAGAGGTGTCCACGTTCGATCCAAAAAACACCCCTGATTTGTCAAAGTTTACAAGTTGCCCAGAACTCTGCATGTAGATCTGCAAGAGATTTTTAATGTTCAAAGCTTTTACAATAGGAGCCTCCCCAAAAATTAAATAGTCGTCTGTAAGCAAAAGATGGGTGAGAAGGGGCGCACTCCGAGAGACACGGATGCCAATTAGACTGCCCTGAGAAACAACATTATTAAGGAGAGTTGTTAAACCTTTCGTGCAAATAAGGAATAAATAAGGGTTTATGGGGTCGCCTTGTCTCAACCCATGTGATGGATGGAATGTATCTCCCATAATACCATTGATCGACACTAAAATGACTGAATTAATGTGAACCAAGCACTGGAAACGGCTGCATTCAAGGAGGAATGTGGGTTGTCCTCGCCCAATATCACCGTTTCTAGCAATAGTGGGAAGAGAAATGAGAGACATGTTGAGGGTGATGAAATCGAAGCTGAACGACGGTCGAGCTCTCCTTCCAGTGATGATGAAGATGGAGGTGGCGGCGGCGGCCGCGGTGACGAAGCATCGAGAAAGAAACTTAAGCTTTCAAAGGAATAATCTTTGGTGTTTATTGGCATGATGAATCTGCATCATGCACGTGATGCTGCTCAGTTTGGTTGGTATTAGTTAAGTTGTTAGCTAAGGTTGTTAGTCAGGTAGTTTTGTTGTTAAAAGCAGTTGTTAAGTCTGTTAAGCAAATACTTGCACCTTGAAGCTGTATATAAACATTAGCTTCCTAGTATCTCGATGTAGCTCTTTTATTCACAAAGAATTCAAGTATAATTCATAATTTCTTTGAGTTCCTAACATGGTATCAATCGTTATCGATCGTGGGATCACTTGTTCTTGCTTCCGCCTGTAATCGACAGTGGTCTGAAGTTCTGCCTGCTTATGGATTTTTCATCTGGTGCTTCTCGTGGCTTCACCAACAAGAAGGTGAATGTGGTTCTTGATGAAACCAACTTCTTGTTATGGAAACAGTAGATTCTACTGACAGTTAGAAGCCATCGATTGGAACGACTGCTGACTGGTGGTGTCTCCACTCCACCAATGACGATTCTTGATGACAATGGTGAGGCTTAAGTGAATGAGGCTTATGAAGAATTCATTGCCCAGGACAGTGCTCTGGCTTCTTGGCTGTTATCGACTGTAAGTACGCATCTCCTCCCACAATTTGTTGGAGCTGAGTCAGCTACTGCAGTTTGGGAAACAGTACTAAAGATCTTTGCAAATCGCTCTACAATGTCGGTTATGAATCTCCACTATAAATTGCAGTCCATCAAGAAAGGCAATGACAATATGCGCATGTATCTTACACGTGTTAAAGAAATTTGTGACGCTCTTGCATCATGTGGGAGTGTTGTTCCCCCAGTTGAACAGATTGTTAGCATTTTGAGGGGTCTCCCTCGTGAATACAAGCCATTCATGGTTGTTGTCTCAACCATGAAAGAAACACTCTCCGTTGACAACATATATGCTATGTTGATGGATGCTGAAGTTCAACTTGCAGGGTTTGTCGAGGAACATGACAATCTGCCCATAAGTGCAAACTATGCTCGGAGTGATGCTGATTGTGTCCCTTCTAATCACCAGGATCACAGGTCTGGTCGCGTATCAGCTTCAGCAAGAAATGGTGGTCGAGGAAGGGGTCGATCACGCGTTCAATGCCAACTTTGTGGAAAGCTCGGCCATCTGGTCGATCGTTGTTGGCACCGCTTTGATGAAGATTTTTCCTGTGTGTCAACCAACACTTATACTTCCTCCAAGGATAACTCCACGAATGGTTCAAACTCTACTAGTAACCAATCCTGTGAATGTTGTTCTCGGAGTAGGTCAGACTCTCAAGTAAATATTACTTCAGCAAACTCTGATCGTTGGTTGGTGGATTCTGGTGTCACTCATCATGTCACTCCAGACAGAACAAATCTCACAAATGCATCCGAAATTCATGGCCCAGGTAAACTCACTGTTGGCAATGGTAACTTGTTAGACATTCAGATAGTTGGTAATTCAAGCTTACATTCTGCCTCTCGAATGTTGTTTTTACATGATTTATTGCATGTTCCTCATGTAACCAAGAACCTCCTTTCGGTCTCAAAGCTTGCTAGGGACAACAACATATTTTTTGAATTCCATGCTAGTAGCTGTTGTATACGAGATGAGATTACTCGACAGGTGCTTCTGACTGGTGAGCAAACTGGAGGGCTGTATTCTTTTGTAATGAACAAGTCTGCGAAGAAAGACATGTGCACACCTGGTGACATCAGTCTTGCTGCTAAAACTGTACATACTGAAATTGAGGAATTGTGGCATCGTCGACTTGGTCATCCTTCTAGTGATGTGCTAAAACAAATTACTAAAGAATTTGATGTAACAGTTGCTACTGATATTAATAAAACATGCACTGCCTGTCATATGGGCAAAAGCCACAAATTACCTTTTGTTCAGTCAAGTACAACGTATGATACTCCTTTTCAACTTATTTTTACTGACTTGTGGGGACCTCCTCATGTTTCATCTAATGGATTCAGGTTTTATGTATCATTTGTCGATGTATGTACTCGACATACATGGGTTTACCTACTGAAATTCAAGTCTCAGGCCACTGAAGTTTTCTTGTTATTTCAAAGAACGGTATTGATAGGGAAGTGGTGACGAGTTGATGAAT